CATGTTCCGACCCCACTAGTTATGCTGACTTTAATTGAATTTATACATTTTTTATAGACCTGTCTGTCAACAATTTTTATATGAAGGCCGCCGTTAGTACTAATATTATAACCTTTATATTTTATATTCTATACATTCCTCACTGTTACCAAAACTAGCAATAAAATATGCATCTACTGTGTGTACACTACACAGTGAATAGAACTTGTAGAATATTATGTATCGACCGATCTCACTCACATTTTATCTAGTGATGCAACTGGACTTTGGAAATACCCAGTACAAAAGAAGTAAGTTCTGCATTTCAAAACGCACTACAAAATATTATACTTAAACATTATATTGGTGCGTATAAAAAATGTATACATAGTTTAAAATTTGCCAAATTTTAAAAATACCTTCTCAAAATTGCTTTGTTGCTAAAATTATAATAGACCGTGTTGTTCTTATTAAATATTATCATAAATTGATAAATATTGCATGTATAAAAAAACTGAAGTCTAATTAATGTAAAGGTAAGATGTATAATTATAAGTATTAAGTAAAAATGTTCAGTATCTAACATTACCGCGATGACTTACAAAACCCAAGTCGTTACTGACTTGATTTGCAAAGTATAAACATGCATTGTTATTTATTATGATAAGAATCCTGGAGAAGAGCTATACTGCGACATCACTAACGCTTCTTTGATTTTCTTAAAAATATTTTTTAAAAAACGAGAATAATAATGACTTCACAGTCAGTTGAAAACTAATCAACGTTCATGGTCGAGTGGATAACAAAAAAAAAAAAAAAATGCAAGCACACAATATAATAAAACCACAATTACCTACCCGCAGAGCAGAAAATAACAAAATATGATAAATGCTATCAAGCACAGCCCGCACAGGAACAGGGAAAAGGCGAAAGGAAACGGGAAATAGTGTTGACACATTAGCCCAACTTGTCGCGATCGTTAAAGTTGGAAAAGTACCAAAATATCATTGTACAACATTAACTGGATAAAGTGAAAGTTTGAAAACATTTAATGCAAAAAGATCCTATACGAGAAGGCAATTCCCCGGGGATATCAACTACGGTAGGTATACAGTGTAGATTTGTAACACAAAAATACATTGTAGAATCTCATCAGACCGAAACGACAACGCGCAAAGGGTATAATAATACTATTAATGTTATTTAATATCCTGCAAAGTAGTTGCCTTCTCGGTACACGCTTCCCGTTTTTGTGTTTGAAGGCGCCTACAGTTCCATTAAATTTATTTTCCACAGCACAACAATGTTTTGGGCGGGGAAGATTTTTGTCGTTTTTCTCCAAATGCACGAGTGTTTTACGGATTACATTCTTTCTTAATGAAATCAATTAAAATACCGCATGTACCTACCTACAGTGGCAGACCTAAGGACGACCCGCTGATTTTCTACCACTGTAAACATATGACATAACGGCTTAATACCAGGAACGGTCGTGAAAAGGTAGGTAATGTTAGGTGTACAGGTAATAATTTATCACCGTTTTTCAAAAAGACAAAATGTACGAACAATGAGTATGAAGAGGCTGCAAAAATTGAAATATATGTATCAAAACAATAGTAATAACACACTATGACAACTAAAGATAATCCGCCAGAGAGGTCCCTGGGTTTCTCTTTAACTACTAATCCTTATATTCACATAAATATATGTATTATACATATTTACATGTATATTAATTATTATATTCAAGGTCATACATATTTTATTTTACAGATCAAACATTTTACTACTATTAATAATGGACATACAATAAGAGACATAAATGAAAAACGTCTAAACGCTATACCTATTTAAAATGTATCTGAAGTGAGAAAGTTGAGATGGAATAGAGCGACTATACTACTGACTAGGTCAAACAAGATAATTTAATAATATTTTAGACTGAGTATAATACAAATGGACGTTGGTAGTTGTGTCAAAATACGTGGATGCATGTTACTAATAAAGACATAGACTTGTGGATAGAAAATAAAAAAATAGTACATAGTAAATCATAGATATGAGTGGACTGCGGAAAAAAACATTTGTCTGGCACTATTTGTATGGGATAAGGTAAATACAAATAATGATGAACACTACAATGCAGTCTATCATTATACTTTAAAATTCTCAATTTAGCTTACATATAGTTTAATATTTAGTAGTTAGATTGAGTTTTAAGATTTTAATAATTTATCTATATTATTGCTGTGGTTTGGTAAAAATGTATACAAAGTCACATCTCGAAGTTAACGTCAAGTGTCCAGGCTCAACAGAAAACAAACAAAACAGCTAATAAATGAATTATTAGTGTAATCTAACAATGCATTGTACAGAAACAGTCAGTTCACTTAATAGGTATAATCATATTAGTGTAATGACCGAACTCAGCGATTTCGATTACTGACTATAATAATAACAAAAGTTATCATTGGAGAGGCTTTTAGCTCGATTATTCGTACTATGTTAGGAAAATCCTAAATATACAATACAACATTGAGTTGGTATCTAGTAGATCTAATCTAAGCAAGTTCGAGACCCCTCTTTTCTCAGTACTTAATTTGTTTTGATCATTTAAAGTTAGATAATATTTTTAAATAATAATATAATTAGAATTATTATTAGAAAAATACTCCGATGTGTTTACAATTACCAATCATCTAATACGAAGAATAAAGTGAGAAATAAGTCAAATGTCATTAACAGATATACTGTGAAAAATATTTTTTTTGCGATTCTATGTTTAATCAAAATATTACAATATCAATAAGATACATTATACTTAATATAGTATTATTAGTTACTAATAATTATGTTTTTTTTTTGGGAGGGGGGCAGCATTAGGGATTCTTCAATACAAAGTTCTAGCTATAAAAGTTTTAACTTCAACCCAATTTTTAGACCTCATATACCTCATACCAAAACTTCGTTTAAATTAAGGAAATAAAAAAAATACCCCTCTTGGGGAATAAATAGTGGTTAATGATATTTTTTAACATTTGGCAGTATATGAAGTGTACCAATTAAATACCCTAGAAAACTTTTAAACATTTGTAGTACTTACCTTATTCCATAAGTATTTATTCGGCAGCCTGCACCTAATTATAATATACTCATATGTATATATACCATTATAAATTGTTTTAGGATTTATGGACGAGTAATAACTAATAAATATTATACACATGGATTATATCCCAATTTATATGAGCATAATATAAGCGATTATTACAATCAGATAGAACAAAGATATGCCAAATATAATTAATAAAACTAAAGTTTGACCCCAGATTTTATTCCAAAATTGTATATTCCGTTTAGAAAATAAAAATGATATAGAATAGGTAAATACAATTATTTTGACTGCAGATTGGCAGGGTTATGTCTTGAAATACGTCGAACAATATTGAAACCATTTCGACTATCTTTTAGTAATTTATCGAGTGTCATATTTTACAATAAAAAATTAGTATATACTTTGTTATTATAGGGTACGAGTATCTTAAGGACATTATAAAGTACCTATTGTATAGATTTCTGGTTATTAGACTAGCTATATGATAAAATACGGTCTGTGGTTTGTAAGTTATATTAAAATTTTTTTTTTCTTAATTATATATTTAACACACAGCAGTTAAATAAAATATATTTAGACGCCTCTCCAGAGTCTTGCGTATTAGTCCAACCTATAGGTTTTTCTTAAGTAGTTGCGGTGTTCTTTGTAGTACTATTTTATAATAGTATGAAATTACTATAAGTAAAAAATATGATTAAACAGGAAATCAATGAAAGAAAATACTCGTTTGGTTTATACAGTTAATCTTTTGTTTATCCTTTATTCGAAATAATATATGTTGTCCTTACAATAAATGAATAAGTACAAAGATATCAACATAACATACAAAAATCCATGATTTAGTTAAAGCGGTGTCTAGTTTGGTCAACAACCGATACATACATACTGTGTACAGCTGCGTTGTATATATAAACTTTTAGTCTGAATTAGTTTACAAAAAAAAATAAAACTACGTTTATACATTTTTTTGTGTGCCTTCTACTAATATAGGCTGTAAATAATACACACATATTTATACTTATATAGATAGTAATATAATATAACTCTTTATACATCAAAATTAGACTGATAAGTCTTTAACAAAAATATATAAATGCTTTTTTATGGTTGGCGCTTGTTCAATACATTTATAATCGTTTATGGCATAGAATGGTGATGGCGTTTAAATCTCTTATATATGGCACAGTAAAAAAAAAAATTATAATAAACATGACCAGATCGACTCGACTTATAAATCTAAATCTGAAGTCTATGCGTTTACTACAGTCGACATAAGATTTGTAAAAAAAAAAAAAAAAATAATAATAACTATGACATCTTACGTCATAATCTTATTGTTTTAGGGGAACACAAAAAAAAACGGTATCCGAACTGCGAGAATTCGTTTTAGTCTATAAATATTTGTACTAAAAATTACAAAAAAAAATTGTTAATAGATTTTAACGGCTTGGAAAAATAAAGCGCTGGTATCAACAGAGTAAATAATATAATATGTTTAGAGAATTTAATTTAAAAATGTAATATAGAAAACAAGATTATATATAAAAAAGTAATAAAAAAAAAAAAACAGTATCCTCACTTAATAAATTCATAAATTCTTATCGACTACAAACTTATCAGAGCAAGAAAATATAAACACGCAGAAGTCTCGTTCTCAAGACTTTAACCTTAATAAACACAAATAATATTTTATATAATATATGTATGTTTTAGAATAATATTTAATACAATAGTACACGTATATAAAGTTGCTGTTTCACGATGTTCTGTTAGATATTTTTATGTAAATCTGTTTGATCATCGTGATACAACCTGTGTTATAAATAAATGTATAAAATGAAAAAACACGATATTAAAATCTATACTTGTTTTTGACTATTTTCAGTTGGTAACAATTCTAAAAAAAAAAAAAAAAAATGTAATTCCACTTGCTAAATACTATTATAGTGTAAGTTTATTATCATATATCTTACAACTAACAAATCTTAACTTGTACTCCTATACTAAAAATTGTTTTTAAAAAAGATGACCGCGACCAAGAATCCGTGGAAAGGTCTACTGTATTAACTAGGCACAGGCGCGCAACAATAGCATTGGGACTTAAGATAATAGTTAAGTAACTTATGTTGTAATTGCAGTCAGTCAACTGTTATTGTTCACTTTCCGTGCAGTATATTATGTGGTAATATTTTATAAAGGCTTAGAAATGTTTTTAAATACTTTGAAAACTGGTCGGAACTACGTTTATACCTGTGTAACACCATTGACACAACATAGATTTTTTTAATGTACAGTGGGAAAGCGTAGGGGACTCAATAACCAACCAACAACCGGTTCTATAATTTTAGCCCCGGCCAAGTAAAGTCGCACAGCACCGGCTAGTTGATGTTCTTTAATCACTGGTAATAATAATATATACATTTATAATAATATTAAAAAAAAAAAAATTATATATATATAATGCTAATAAAACGTTATCCCCCTAACACAGAGTACGGTCACCGTCGATTTCCACTTCGACAAAATGTCCAGGATCTAATAATAATATATAATAACTAAAATAAAAAAATTAATAATAAAGTTTGGAACTGAGGTATACATAATATAATAATAAATACAAAAAAATAATAAAAACAAGTCGTTCCCGTCGTGGAAATGGAAGTGGACGGTGACAACACGTCTTGTGATCACTATGGAGGGTTTTTTTTTAAACCTAAGTCAAGTTACGGATCCCTTTTAAGGCCTTTATCCCTTGTACTTGACAACCTAATGGAAGACTCGATTTCATTGTGAGCGTTTTAACTTTCTCTTTCTACGTATATTATAAAATAATCTTTAAACGAGGTAAAAACGGGGTGGTGCAATTGGGTGTGAATACAACTAGTGTGACTTACATATTAATATATTCAAACAATTCTTAAACGTATAAATTAATTTTTATGTATTTTTAAACTTTTAAAAATGCCAACAAAAAAATTGTAGATCACTAGTTTACATTTTTATAGCGTATTGTACTTAAATAAATTGCTATGAAATAATGCACTTGGAAATCATCATGTTGCACCTAGGTAAGTTAAAAAAAAAAATAATAATAATAACGTTAGAAATGTATGTATGTTTCGAACGCGGTGTTGTAGTGTAACTAGTGTGAGTGATTTGAAACTAGAAGACTAACAAATATAATTAAGGAAACCAGAACAAAGAACAAGAGATCTCTGAGACAAAATTTTTCGAAATGCACCGCCCGTGCCAAGAGATACACAGACAATTCTTTGTTGACAGCTACTCGAAGCGTATAATGTATACAAAGTAGATTTGTTTCCAACTACTCGTGTACACTGTACACACTGTTATTTGTACGATTCACAGAATCTAATAGAAGAAAAAAACCAACTAACATTAAGTTTTTTCGCGATAGAGCTTAAACTATTAAATTCTCTGTACGCGTCTGTTGCTCGGTAGGTGGTAAGAAAATGAAAAAAAAACTCTACAACTATAACTATACGAAATAAATATAATAATATAAATTTAAAATGGAATCCGAGCAGCAAGTTATACTCGACGGGTAGCATGCGCAACCTGCACGAGTGGAAAAAAATCTAAGCGTATTGTATTGCTATCCCCATTAACACAAAAAGAACATAATATTATATATATGAAATAAACAACACTGTCCTTAGCTGGCTACAAATTAATTATTCTTAAAACATAATAAATGTGGGCCTACACATGTATGCGAGTAATCTTAACGTCTTAAGTCTAAAATGTCGATGCTTCTTAAATACACACCTATCGATTAAGTGTTTTACAGAGTAATAACGTGTGTTCCTTTACAATAGTTTTATATATAAAAAAAAAATTGACATTACTATACAATATAATATATTGGTGATAGGTTTACTTCGTTCAAGTCACCGCGGGCGATTGACTTAAATCCAACAGTCTGAGTCTTCGACCATGGCGGTCTTGGTGTACGGTTTGACGTACATTCCGAACTCCAGCTCTTTGCGCTGTCGTTTGTGCGTCTCTACCATCTCTTCGATTTGCTCTTGACAAGCCTTCAGGTACTCCTGGAACACAAAAATTAAAACCGACCATAAAATAATAAGTCTAATGTTCTTGATTTCTCTCTTGTTCATCCTCGTCTCTCTACTTCAAATAACTCTCTCATTAATCCCACAAACTTTTTCTCGTCTTATCTTTTCCCCGTTTCTATTTATTCCTTATCTTTTTCGATAAACCATTTAAACCTGGTTGTTCCTACTTTCACCCATTTTCTACATTCCTGCTGAACAACAGTCATGCAAATGGCATTATTCACTTCCATTAAAATTGTTAATAAACAAAAAAAATAATCTGTGTTAACAAGCGTTATGCTTATTTCTTATTTAATATTGACGAAGTATTGTTTAGGACAACCTTTCAGCAAGCGCATGAATAGTATTTGAGTAAAGGATTAAAGAAAGCGGACAAGACGGTCTATTTGGAACGGAGTTAGTGATTTAAAATAAATTACGCGCTTACTTTTTTCAAGCCGGTGATGTTGTTAAGTTTAGTGAACAAATCCAACTTGTTGACGGACGTGTACTCCAGTCCATTCAGAGCGGCTGCGATGCTGGCTGCCGCTATAATGCTCGGCTGGTACGAACAAAATTTATAATCTGAAACAATGAAATATAATGAAATGCTACAATTTGTACAAAAAAACAAAGTCCGCAAAAGGGACTTGCAAATAAAAAAGACAGACTCGCGACATACAGTAATGATAATAACTATTATAGGATTATAACTTAATCTAGTGGTAAAATTATATTCCTAGTGGCTTTTGCCAACTGGCCCGACTAATATAATTATTACTATACACAATAATATAGTTGTTTCTATTATTACTATTACAACATAAATGTAATTTCATTGGTCGATTTATATATTTTCGTCATCGACATAACAAATAGCCGACGGTCGACACACAGCAAATTTACTGAGAGAGTCAATTTGGACCATAAGAATAATATATAGCTCAGACGTCGGGTTTGTGCGCGCCAGACAGAAGCGAATGCCGTTCATTGTTCAATGTCAGTGAAGAATATTAATATCGCACACGGAGGGGATAATTGGCGCGCCAAAAATTAAAATTTGGATACAATGGACTGGGAGGAGAAGAGGAAAGACACTATCGAACACACATCCCGGAGGCTATGCCCGAGTCTGATGGCAGTAATACCACGGCGGCAGTTTTAACAATCGTTTAACCGCTTTCCATAATAATATGTATAAAATGAGAAATTAGTCATAAAAACCCCAAAGGGAAGACTACAAAAACTACCAACGACGTACGACGAGAACACCAACACACATTACTAGAACTACTTAACGTATTATACGGTCTTGAACCGCGGAAGTGACGCACGCAGCAATGGTTTGTTGTTAAGTGAGTGTTTTTACTGAGAATCGGTTTATGATTGATTTGCACCGATCGTCATGCAAAATCTAGATAACATTATATTAAAGATATTATGATCTGTAGCGCACTCGAGTGGTAATTTTTGTACCATCTTCGATGGCGAAAGAAAGAGCTCCACTCGTATGAAATTTGTTTTTATTTGTCGTTGGACTTTTTTTTATTTTAACAATATAATTTATCTAAACGATTTGTACCAGTTCAAACCTGTTCTTCGCTTTGAGTAATTTTAAACATACAGCTATATATAAAAACGGGAATAAATGTTTTTATATTATAAAATTTAAGTTATTGATTGTTATAATTTATACACGAAAGTGTTGATGTTATTTTTTGCTTAAATGTCAAAAAAGAAACATCGATTTACGTTTACATACAACCAATACGCTACAAATATAATTCAAAATAAAATTGCGTCAAACGTAGGTACTAAAATAAAATAATTTAATTTTTTTTTTAGAACCACTTAGAATAATTAATAACATTTATTAAAAATAATCAATGACAGCCGTTAAAAAAATAGTTATTAGGAAAATCAATTTTGTTTTTCTCACGATTGTCAAATATTCGTTAATAGCGGTATGCATATATTATACATATTTGTTAACTACTAAACGTTAAAACACGTTTTATATCATAGAAGTATATAAACACTTAGTTAAAGAAATCTTTTCATTTTATTATTAAAATCGCATAAATTGTTGACCATTATAGAAATCAAGTGTAACCACCTTTTTCATGCCGTATATAATATTTTAAAACGAGCCACTGTGCGTCGAGCGGATCACCATGAATCACGGGTTGTCGGCTGCGGTAGTAACATTATTATAATGATAATAATAAATTAATAGCTATAATTTGTAGTACGGGGCGACAACATAAAGCGGCGAGGACAACCCGCTTCCCTCTTGTGGACGAACGAAATCTGGACGGTCTCATCCCTCTACAGATTATTGTTGCTTGAGGGGAGGTATGAAGTGTAAAGCAGAGCTTTTTTTACCGTGTCAACCTCGCCGGTAAATAACTAGGCATAGCACAATAACGCGTACAATGTTATGAGCACATGATTATTGTCGTGATTTCCTGCGAGGGTGTGGGAAAGACATGGCGGATTTATTATTTATTCGAGAGTGAGAGGGAGAGAGAAGAGACTGTTGTTTTTACTCCATTTCACAGATCATCAGATAACGCGCGCATCGGTTTGTTGTGCAAGAGAGCACATACGCACTCTTAAATAATATATTATATATATATATATATAATAGTCTAGACGCCCTGGGCCGTATAGATCTCTCTCGCTCCGGTCGGTGTTCTCTCAGTCTCGATGTGTGTTTTGTATTCTCGTGTCGGTGGTCTAAATCATGTTGTGCGCCGCATTGCATTCTTCTCTCGTCATCCTTTGTTTCGCCAACTCGATTTCAACATATATATATATATATACGCGCGGGGGGATGCTGGTACGTGACTAAATTTCTGTATTAACGTCACACACACACACACACACACACACACACACACACACAGGGCAAACGTGTAATATGCGAAGAGGAAGAGAGAATAAAAATGTGCGTGTGATTACTTAATAAATCTCGACAAGAGTGCCCGCCGGTCTTGTCTTCTCCGCCGGCACACATATGTACATAATATACCGCATAGAGCACGGCATTCATAAAAACAATGCCGACGATGTTGTTTTACGATTACAGTACCTATAAATTTCTCCTGATAAGTGACCATTGATAGCGGCCATGGTAGCCGCGCGACTTGGCGGCTTGGGACTTGCCGGCGGACGAGATAAAATATTACCACATACATTAGATAGACGACACATAGGTACGTATAACACCGGGTGTCTCATGACGGGTCTCCAACGAGCAGGAGGAATCGAGGGAAACCGAACGTCGGGGACTAAAAGATGAACGGTGCACGGGCGGACCTTAGGAGACATCATAATCTAATGAAAATCACCAGCAATAACCGGCGATAACCGTGGTGGTAGTGGGTGGTTTTTGTTTGCGTTCTCGACGCCACAGTTGCAAAAAAATTAAAAAAAAAAAAACGAATTAAAATCTGATATGGTCTGTTGTAATAATAATATGAGAAAAACAACTGCGCAAATATGCATAGTATTATATGTAGTATACACAACAGAGACCGTGCGTTACACGCTTTTATCAGTACAGGAAATCAGTAAGGCGAAACCGCAGTTTTAATAAATACAACAGCACCCGGAATTTTCGACAATTACCTTGCGCAACATTTGATCTCAGGTAAGACGAATATACAAATTTGGTATTAAAAAAATAAAAAAATTCCCATCGATCAATACTTTACGGGACTGTATCTCACATAACCTCATACTCTTCTCGAATGATTTCACAGTAATTCTTGGAATTCATTCGAATGACTCAAAAAATAAAATAAAACTGTAATTAATGGAAAACGCCAACAGCACCACACACCGGTTTTGGTCTTTAAATCAGAAACATTTTAAATTTAACAAACTATTCAAAAGTTTTATTATGTCTTGTAAAATGAAATAATACGCACACCGACCTGGGGAATTAAGCGGATACATTATGTTACAAAAATCAGCGTTGTACTCAATATTTTATGAAAACGTGAATTGCAAAATGTACACATTGCTTTTCAATTGACTTTGGGCCAATCGGCTAGCCTCAGATAACAAATTCATCAAAACTACAAAGTGTTATAATTCTACGAAATTAATAAACATCACATAACGCACGACATAACAAATAACTCACGTACATTTAATACGAAACATTTATTTAACTAATTAACCAACCACTCGAAGAATATTATGTTTTTTTCCTTATGTTCCCATCGATCTTTGTACTTTTGGTAATTTTATCATTCCGTTCGGGCTAAATGTCAGTTAAACTATGATCTGTAAACACGTTCGGCTCGACCGGTGCTGCATTGTTCAGATCAATTAGAGTCGACGATGAAGAGCCGTTTTTCTGGCCTACAGCAGGCGGGTCACTTGCTCAAAGAACATCGGGTCGCAGTACGACGGTATAAGAACTCGGCCGGTTAGGCTAAAACACGATACGCGGTTGGATTTTATGTAGTCAGATCATATTTGATAATATGGGCTACTACACGGCTAAAAAGTACCCGTTCACTGCGACCACAACAATTACACTTCCTTGACGGCTCTCCGCCCCCTTAACGTTAGATTGCTGCTAACCCCCGACCAACCAGAGTTTCTACTTGCGGGAGGGGGGCGTGCCGTCGAAAGTGAATGGATAACCTCAGGGCTTTCAGTCAGACCGACAATGCCAATGTTGAACGTTTTGGCCGTCTATCTATCTAACATGTAGTACGAGAATGCGGCTCAACGCCGTCCATGTCCAGTGGTATAATGTAATAATAAAAATAATAATAGTGATTATACATAATCTCTCGACGAACAATAATAATATTATAGACTCTCTTTTGCTTCTCTCATTTTCCTTCCTTACCGCGCACGAGCCGATAGCCCCTTGCCCGGAGACTATTAGGCGCGGTAAAAAACAGAATCAAAAACTTTTTTTGCACAAAGCCAACACCGTAAAGTCGGTCTGGAAGTAACGCGACAATCGATCACGCAAGATGTGTCTGTTACAGACACCACACTGTAATGACAACAATAAATCAATATAAATTGTCGTTGTTAATATTAAAGGAGTAAATGATGGAAAACGATAATGCGATCAAAGCACATAATATGTATAACAATAGTTGTGGGTTGCTGCGATGAACCGTTAGAATTGTTGTTGTTTTTGTCAAGACTTACATTTTTTTTTTGTATTTTTTTGATCGAACATATTTTACCCATAAATTGACTACTGTAATAATACATAATAATATAACGCATTCAGCACCACCGTCAAGTACCATAGGACATAATATTACTCGGTGTTTGACAAGGATTATAATAATGTATCGCGTCAACATTTGAATTTAATACACAACAACGAGGAATAATCGGATTTGAAAAGGTTATTGTGTTTTTATGTGTTGAGACTTGAGAGGGCGAGAAAAAGAGAAAGAACCGACATTTTTATGGAAATTTACTACCGACGCTAGGAGTATATTTTAGATATTTTTTTTTATTACTAAATTATTATTCAAAACGGCTCTTGTTGAATGAAACGCTGTACGTCTTCTTGGCGCTGAACTGTTACCAACACA